GCTCTCAGATACTTGGTTAATATTTCCTTTTGCAAGAGTCGGGGCCAGGTGAGTTACCATGCTCGATGTAGAGGCATTTTCCTTCAGGTCAAACTGGCAATAGCCTTAGAGGGTTTTCTCTACCTCCCTCGTCATCAGAGCCCTGGCTCCCTCACTGTGATCGTCTGGACATATTTCCAGCCAGTCAATTCCTGCCACTGCAAGGGCCTCAGGCACTGGCAGCCCCTCAATCTCTCCTGTGTTCTGCCTCAAGCAAATAAACCATTTTGTTTTCACAAGACTGAAAACTGTTAGTTTACTTCAGGTCTCTGAGCAGAACACAGAGGGTCATCTATTTGAAACTTAATGACCTGTGCAGTAGAGAAGGTCAATCAAATGACCTCTATTTTCTAGAAAACTAAAACGCAACTGTACATACACAAGACGTTAGGATTTGTTTCAGCTTTACATAGATACGTACATCAGGAATGTCAGTATGTCACTATTAACATGGCTACATGGACCCTCTGTTGTAATAGTACTGTACAGTTGCACTGTTTTGAAGAGTTAGTTAAGCTCTCAGTTACCTAAAGCATTAGCCAAGGATATCTGGCAGAATATGAAACGTTCTAGTAAACCGCGTTTCATGTAAATCCAGGAGCAAACTGTGAAGCGGATCACTTTTAAAGATCGATGTACATTTTTAAAAATTTCCTCTTTAATTATAGCTAGCCTAAAATATCATGACCACCAATGTTCAGTTTTGGTGTCTATGTAAGACTTCACTAAGGCATGGCAATAGATTACTGCAGCAGCAGATCAATCCTCTTTTGTCAAGAAATACTGCTCCTCACAGACATTTTATATAGATGAACAGAAAACAGATTTTTTTTCTAATTGCTCAAAGTCACCTCCTTTAGGTCAGCCAGGCTATTGGTGCAGAATTCACTGAACAGGCAAGAAATCCAGTATACACCAGAATGTACTGGTCAAACAATCCAGATAACTACCACACATGCCAGTAGGTCACACAGCAAGTCTGAAGTAAAACAAACTTCAGAAAGAAAGTCATTAGAGGCTGAGAAGTCATTAGCCTTTGACTTTCTCTGCTACATGATACTGTTTCCACCCCTAAAGTATTAGTGCAATGCCTGAACGTTGCCAGCAGCTGTTCTCAGAGTCCAAAGTGACAGAACCAGGACACCTGCCTGTGCTACACAGCTCCCCAGACAGGACTTTCATCAATTTATTAGGTTTTTTGTTCTTGATTTCTTTTTTATTAAACTCATATATTATCTGTCCATTTTCTTGCCCCACAATGTTTTTCAGGCAACTATGTCACAATCATTGAATCTTCTCTGTCTGCAGAGAGAGATTTTACTATTCCTGCACTCCAAATTAAGCAGGCCTGTAAAATCAGAGTTGAGACTCTGCAACAGCCCAGCCTTTGGCTTCTCTGCTGCAACTGATAAAGATAAAATGCTTTTCCAACTTGTGTCTCAGTTGGCTGCTACTTTCAAAACAGATGAAATCTGACAGGAGTCATCAGGTTTTAAAAACATTTCTTCAACTCTGGCAGGCAAGAACATTTTTTAAAGAGAGTCCTTTTTTTTCTTTTGGAGATTGAGGATTAAACGTACCTTATAAGTAAGGAGCAGGAGCAGAGAATAACAGTGTGTATGTAGATGAAAATCAGCTGAAAATTAATCCTTTTACATACCATCATCTTTTTATGATCTGGAAACTCAAGGCCAAAATAATCGCCTTCAACAAGGTTCAGGTGGTTGCAAACAGCATCATGCAGAACTTTCCCCAGAGCTCTTTGCTGTAAAAAAAAAAAAAAAAAAAAGCCTAGAGTTACAAAGATGCTTTTAATTAGTGGCAGAAAAATTACTATGCTAAGAAGTCATCCAGCAAACAACACTGTCAAAACAGTTTACGAAATCAGTGGATATTCCAACCATACCCAAAGGGCAGTTGACAATAATTACACTAGTTTTAAAGCTACGAAAAATATCCAGCCATCCCTGGATGGCAGCTCAGAAACTATCTTTAGTGCATTTTTATTTTTGAGGGAAAAATACTATGAAATAAAAGAGGTCGAAGAAGGGACTTGTTTTCTTATGTCTGCCATGTAAATATGCAACGCAGTAAGGTGTCAGTCTCTAGGCTATATTGCTACTGTGAATTTTGGAAGACGGCTATTTCATCCCATGGCCCTTCAAGCCATGTCAAGTGGTGCTATGTACACCTGCGTACAACACACCGAAACCAAAATGTCCACCGGCAGACCTGTCATACAAAACACAAGGGTCTGAGGGTTTGCTGGACGCTGCTTGATATGCAACAGGCTCAAGTCCTGGGTTCTGACTTCTGGCTTATCCCGAGCCTCCTGCTGTGAGGCCCTGAGGATGGTCAAGGCCTGCCTGTGCTACCCTAACAGAGCTGTCAGTACTGCGCAGGAGTCACGAGCAAGCGTTTCCTTCCACACGCTGAAAGTCTTCCCTCTATAAAGACCAGATGTTCTAGCCCAATATTAGCTCCCAGAGCCACCGCTTTGCTGATTGTAAGGATTCTTCTCATCAGCACGTCCATTAAATCCACACCTGCAGCAAATACTGTAAATTACAGCTCACCAGAGAGTCTTCAGCAAAAAACACTGTTTCTGTATAAAAACGCCAATCACTGAAATCAAATATTTTTGTTCCTTGGACAAATGCACCTATTTTAACTCAAGAGGCCCTGAAACACAGAAATCCACTCACTTCAGAACAAATAATAACCCATTAAACTGCACAAACTCCACCGTTACAGAAGACCCATCACACCCCAGACAAGTGCCCTTGCACTCAACCTGCAGATTGGCCCTTTCCCTTTCTGCCCAGTAAATAATTACTAGAGCAAAATAACCCAGCAGTAACCAAGCGAAGAAAAGAAAACCATTAGCGGCGGGCAGTCCGGCCAACCTAGCTCAAACCTGAGCCTAAGCCCAGGTCCTGGCATCTCCGGGCAGTGCCCGTACCAACAGGCTACTTGTGAGAGGGCAGCTGCTCAACCCCACCTCCCCCAGATATATGCCACTACGCAGTCTGGTCTCTGTTTCACTGGGATACCAAAAACCAAAGCCCCAGGTTTTTTTCCACCTAGGGCAATACCTGGTTTCCAGCCACAACCTTAAATACAAGGCACCTTTCTAAAGGCAATTTACCTAACACTGTCTACTATGAATTGTGAAAAGTAAACACCCAGTAGCGAGGCTTACACAAGAGAAATTCAAAGGATGACGTTTTTCTAGGGAAGGCACAGGATATATGTGCCGCTACGGCGGCGCCGTCACCCCCCTGATGCAGGACGCAACGACCGAACCCTTCAGCGCTGGCTGAACGTTTTGAAAGTCGGAAGGGAAAAGCCAAGCTCACCTCCCCAGGAACTTGCTCAGCAGGTTTTTACCCAACATACTCCCAGTGCCTCTAACAGACCTATGCCACCAGGAAGCAATGTTCACTTAGGTTATTTTATTAACTGTTGGTCAGTGTCAGCTGTAGCAAACATCAGCCTCATCTGTCAGAAAACAGATCAAGAATGACTGCAGGTAGGAGTACTAATTTTTTTTAAGCATTCGTCATAACTCAACCTTGCAGTAACTACAGTAATTGATACCAAAATGCCAAACAAGAGGATACAGAGAGGGCAAGGAAAAAAAAAAGACATCTACTTTTCTAAACAGAGCACTTTTGATCTGATGTAATGCCATCCAAAATAAATCTCAAGTGCAAATATATTTGAATCCACTCACTTCACGTTCTCCAGCTTCATTAAACCAAAAGCATCCCCGATGACCACCGCCCAGCCCGCGCCAGCCATCGCGCCTCGTGTGTCTTCCCGCATTTTCCACCCCATCTGTCGCTGTACGTAGGCACATCCCAACATACACTGTCTCTTAATGGAAGAGCTTCCCAGTAAGTGCATATTGTTAGAGGCAACAGAATAATATTAAAAAGACATTAGATTAAGTGTAATAGTGATATTAGTTTACTGCTCCGAAAATACACCTACAAATGATTTAGAAACTTCAGGCAAATGCTCCTGCTCCCAGACTAGTCTCAGGGCTCCTCGGTTTGGTTGGGGCCACTAGAAAATGGAAGGATGTGTTTAACAGCCACCCTTGCACAGCAAGAGGCAGAAGATACTGCTTTCATCCACGTGTACAACCACTAAAATGGAAACGTGGCTGTGCATATGTATGTACACGTCTTACTGAAGTACCTGATGGATCCTGTCTGACAAAGACCAAACTTCATCGTTCCTCCCAGGAAAAAAAAGTGTGCGCGAAGATTTTTGATCAACAGGAAGAAAGGCAGAGATCCCACCTGCATTACTACACCGTGCAAGGTTAGCTGAGGAGAGCAAGCCTGTCTGATCTCAGACCATGAGTAAAAGCATCTGATTAAAACCTGCTGAGTGTTTTCATAAAGGTTTTTTCTTACAGGCATTTAGACAATGGAACGGCAGTCTTGTAGCATTTATGTCACTTGGCATTTTCTCTGGAGTGTGCCTTGGTAACATGAAATGTTTCTTACTCAAGTATTTGTAAATAAGATTATTATTCTAAACTCATCTTAGCTTTGATCAGTCTACCTCAAAATAAAATCTGACAGTTTATTCAAGGGAAACCCTGTGCATATAAAATCTAATGAGATTTAGAGCCTGATGGCACTCCAGTCTTGCAGGAGCAGCAGGAGAAGTACAACATCCACAAAAGCAGGAACTCTCTGGTCTCACAGAGATGTTGATTCACTGCAGTTCCATGACATCTCTACTAAAAAATTTAAACACAATAAATTAAAATCTCAGTCCGCTGTGTATGGAAGCAAACCAGCAGTCATTCAGGTCACAGCAAACACGAGCTGACAGTGGAAGCATTCAGGAATGAGTGCGCCACACCAATGACATCATCTGTAGCCAACAGTCGCGTCTGACTTGCATGTGGTTACCAGGCCTATGGGACAACACAAGATTTCCCCAGAACTTGGAAGACATTTTCCAACCATCGAGTGTGGCCCTGCTGCCACGCCTCAGACAGCGAGCACAAGGCAAGCTTCATCAGCTCCTGCCCCACAGCCCGGCGGCTGCACCCATGTCCCACGAGCTTGGACGCTTTCCCTGCTCCAGGCTAGCATGGGTCTGATCCATGGGGATCCATGAGCCCCCCAAAATAGCTACGCATGCATGTAAGGTTTCAGGGTGGGGAAAGGCTGCACTACAGCCTACGCTATAGGAGAGCCTTTCCCTGCCACAGTGAGAAAGCACAGGCCCATTACATGACCATCATGAAAGCCTCATACGCTGGGATGAGGGAAGGTCATCAATGCGGCCAAACATGGAGGACATGGGAGAGGAGAGCCTGGAGACCTATCTCCTGCTCCCCCTGAGCATCATCGAATGAGAGCTTGCACCAGGGAGGGAAAAAACTGACCTGAAGGTGAAGATCAAAGGAGGAGGACGAGGCATCCAAGTGGGACATTGACATGAAAGCTGCCACAATGAAGGTTGGTGGCAAGACTATACCTCCAGACCATTTGCTACCACAGATGCCACACTGTAAGGCAGCGAGGGGAAGGAAACGGGAGGGTGCGGTGTACTGGTGGAATACAACTCGAGGAAGATCACATGCAACACCCAGGAGCTGGGAAGCAGCTGCAGTGGGTGGCAGTCCCCTGCTCCTGTTTTTGTTGACAGCCAGATTCTTGTATAATCAATAGAGAAATATTGTAGCTCCAGAGGGCAATTTTTCCTACCCCCAAACAGCCATCTGAGCATACTGGCAATAAACTTTTCCTTAGCAATAAGTTGTACTCTTTTACTCTTGAGGACAAGAAGCCTGGGCACCTGTGTTACAGCGTTTATTTTAGAAAAGGTGAATCCCAGTCATACTGACAGCAGGGAATTACCATTATTCTCCTGAGGTGGTATTTAGTTACACCAGAATAACATTATAAAGTTATCGCAGTGAAAAGAAGCTCACTGATTTCCAGCTACACATCCTTATTGCTTAATGCATTTTGAACTGGCCTTTCATTTAGCTCTGCGAAATCACATTTTAAAAGTCACTTTACATTTTCAGGGAACGTCAGGCCACTAAGTTCTAAATTATGAATAATGTGCATCACCACATTTAGCTGCAAGCTATGAAGGTACCCAGTCAAAGTAGCCTGCTTTACGCATTGTGCGTTCAGCATTTGCTGTCTGCTCATTTTATCAGTCCTACTCAATTCACCCTCCCGCCACTCCCACCAAAGTCCAAAACAGTACGTTGCTTGTGATCTTCCAGTGGTGAATATTTTAATAGGTTCAATAATTCTTTCATGTTCTAGTGATCGCCAATCATTTAAAAAAAAATCTCCCTCTACATACTCGTTTAGACCATTCTTTGGCACAGACTGCAATACAGATTTTTAAAAAAAAGAAAGCGCACAGCAATATCTGGAAGAAATCCAGGGCTTTAGAAGAAGTGGCTTTGGACACATTCCCCCACTCCCAGTTAATTTAGCAATTATTTCACTAACCACCTACCAAAAAAAAAAAAAAAAAAAAAGGTGCCTGTGTGGGATCAAATAGTGATTTTACCATTTTTTATCTGTCTAGCCAACTAATCTCAGATTCCAGATTGACTAGATCTTCAACTGAAAGGTTTTCGTTCATTTGTTTGTTTTTACATCACTGAGGAGTAATACCAGGCTAAAAAAACCAAATAAAATAAGCACTTTCTTTCGAACATCTGAAAAATATGTCCCATCAGTGTTTTGGTCAAAGTAAGAGACAGCT